TCAAAATAATTGCTGGCTAAACTGAAGAGTGCGTCCTCATTGGTCCGGATCGTCTGCCTGCAATTAGGCCATAATCCCATCAGATAATCACAGGATCATCCAGAGCTCTCAAATTCACAAGTTTATATGCGTTTTACACTAATTTATTTCGGCATCTCTTCTGGGCTTGCGTTTTTCTTCGTTTCTAAATTTCTTGCAAAAATCTGATTAGGATATCACATCTCTGGCTTCTGCCATATACCCAGTTAGATAAGATCTTAAGTCCCACATAACTTAACGGACAGTCATATTTTCAGAAATAGTTTGCAGATATCTCCAACATGGGGACTGAAATAGAAACGAAGTATGCAGCAGATAGTCAGTTAGAGTTTATCTCCTCTTTGAATCACGATGTGCTCTTTAAATGCTGATATATTATCTTGAATTTCCGGTTGTCTTGTTTTCCTAGTTGGTATACTCTTTATATTAGCAGATTAAGAAATGGCAAGGCGATTAGAGGTCACTAATCTTTATTTAATCAAGAACACACTATTTTCCCGAAATCATGACGAAAAACTAGTAAATGCAAGAAAAGGGGATATGCGAGCATAGCTAAATAAAAAAATCGATCATGGCATTGAATGAAGCTATTTAAATGTCTGAGGGAATTATGAATTAAGGCGTAAAGTACAAGCTTAAATGAAGAATGTAACTTATTTCGGCTAATTAACAATTGTAAACACATTATGTAATCGTCATAAGATGGCCTAGATACAGATCTCGCCATTTCTGGTCTCGAGTAGCTAGGCGGAGACCTATAGATATTACCAGTCTGGGCAATAATTTTCAAGACAGGTTACAAGAAAACATTAAAAAAGTCAAGTGTATCCAATACTATAAGAGTTAGTCCATCTGGCAAATGAAGTGTCTTCTATTCTACAAACCTAAAACCGCATATGAGCAAACAAGACGGTGACAACTCCCAAGCTCTTATTTTCCATCTCATTTACTCGACCTGGATACCTAAAATCATGATTCCTTAGAGGACTTAAATCACGTAATTAGTAAGATATCCCAACTATTGTAAACTCTTTGTATGGAAAAAGTAAATATTTGCGCCGTGATATCCTCAAATGAACCTACCGAATTATATTCTTCGGGGCTAGACACAAAGCAAATAAGATCGTATATATGAAGACCAAGATGGTCTGGCCTCTTGTTCGGTTGCAATCTCCTTCAGCTGTATAGTGTTGGTTTTACCTCGTTTTCATATCTTGTTCGGGGCAACAGGAAGAACTCGTGGACCTGTGTCCTCTGACAGTTTTCATGATGATTTCCAGCATCGGACCGTTGATTTAGCAAGACTTTTCACGTTTGTCTGCTTTGAGAGACACATAACTTAGAGTAACTACCGTCTCTTGCAAACATACCATTTACATGAACAATGCAGAGTCTGTTCGTGGCTTGAATTACCACAAGATCAAGTTCGTCTAAGATATTCCTCTAATTATACGTAAAGATTTCCCTTTTCAGAGTCTAACCAACTAGATAATAGGCATGATATGGAAAATTTTTAGTTCTTTAATTTACCTATCTCTACTACTTAGTCACTTGCCTGCAAACTGAGATGTAGTCTTCGAGGTAAACTCGCGTAAGTAGCGCTGCATTGAATCTGTAAGGGCCATCGGAGCCATTAGCAATAAAACCCAGCGGCTGGGTGCAGATAACTGTTGTTTAGAAGACGGTGGCTTCAGGAGGGCTGCCCTTTGGTGTGAGTCGGGAGAGTCAGGAGTCACGGCCTTACTCCAAAAGCCCGTAGTCAGATCTGGTCTGATAGTGGCAGTAGGCGTCATGACGCTGCGGCAGCCCCAGCAGAGCCAGATGGCCATATCGATTGCAGGCATATGCACCCAATATGTAACACGTGAGGACTGGCCAATCAGCGTTTAGACGGGTCGAGTAAGTATCGAGACGACAATGAGTCATCCATCCCAAATGACAGATCTGGGTGGGCTCAACACGCAGTAAGCCCAAATTGTGCAATCACATCAAGGCCCGCGAAATGCGCAAACCAGTCATGGGAAGGGCTAGAAAAAAGCTGCCCCATCGGTCGCCATTAGGCGGCCCATCGAAAAAACTCGCACTTGGAGAAATCGCACTAGGCCTCAGATTGCCCCACCCCCAAGTCCTCCAATTTACCTGACTTGGTCAACCGCTTTCAGACTCACAAAACATGCTATATGATTAGGCTTATCCATATACTAGACCCATGATCGGCCTATTGAAACAGTTTAATCGACCAGGCGTCCTAGTGTGTGTATGCCCAACAAATCGACCAGCTAAAATGAGTGTATCCTGTGGTTGTTATCGTAAACTGGTTTAAGATTAACAAATACTGAGTTGTAGAGATTGCCTTAGTGATTTATTGTAACATTACTTTTCATTTAGAATAAAAGGTTGGTTGGAGAGACTTAGTGAATCGGTCTCACTGGAAAGAAATAGAAGATGACAGTGGAATGAAGACTATTGGATTGTGCGAAGAGGTCCTCACCGCATCATCTTGCGACCACGATAAACCCGTGTTAAGATTGACCTTTTATGCTACTGATGCAGCCAGAGTAAAAGACATGCATAAAGAAAAACGCCCCAAATACGATATAAGGTTGCGATTCACATGAGGCATCCCATTTTCTGGTTTGTCATTTAATGCTTAAAATATATTCTTATGCGTGAGAAAGTGATTCATAAAAAGGCATGGGTTGCAGTGTCAGTGGCTTTGCCTACGTAATCAAATGTACTTGGTAGTATGTATTGCATGTATGCAATGTCCTGGTCTCGTGGAACGTTAGTCAAAATCGTATACCAAACTATTCAAGCATCCTTCTCTTACTCAGTAGTCCTTCCCGTTTATTGAAATGCAGCTATTACATTCACGATGGCCAATGTTGATAAAATGCTAACTCTTTGCTTGGTTCGCATGCAAACAAGGTACTGAGAACAACTCTTCAGTGGCTAGTCTCATTTAAGTTGGTATAATTGCATTTCAGTTTGTGCCAAAAGTTTCCCCTTGACACTGGTAATCCAATAGACAGCTTCTATGATTTCCCACTTATTTGGGGTTGATGTACCCAAGGACGTGGTCCATAGAGCCCAGAAATTCAAGTCAATAGTTGAGTGAAGCCTTCGCACCTCACCAAATTAATCTTTCACTTAAGATTGGGTCACTATGCCTTCACTATTACCGCCAGATATATATAATATTTTAATCTCTTCTTCATGTGACTCAAATACGAGCAAATTCAGAGGGTCTTGTCAATCAGTGATATCCAGATGTCATAGATCCAAATTCCACATTGTTGAGCTAGTTGAGACTGGAATGTCTCTGATTATTTAGAAATTTCTAAGATTTGTTTGTCTCTTGTTTTTCTACGATGGATTGAAATCCATTTGGTATAATGCAATTATTTTGAGTAAGATCATTTCTAACCTACCTTATTTGCATTATAATCATGGTTTACGAAGCTTGAGGCCTAAATTCAGCTTTTTGAATAAAAATTGAATTGTACACATTTTCAAGTAAGAAGGTTCCAATATAGTCTATTTGGGTTTCTCACACTGAGGATAACTCAACCATCGAGAGTCCTCTCAAATGTACATTAACAAAGTGGTATTTTGAATTTAGAAACTTAATGCCGAAATTTTCGAAGCACTTGGCTTAGCCCAGCAACTAATTATTTGTATGAGCCTATTACATGAAATATTCAGTTAATAGATTGAACAAGTTACTGCCGTATTTTTTAATACTTATGATCTATATAATTGTATTCGCACCACCTTTAATTTCGTTACTTTTTTTGCGTGCAGCAGTCCTGACTGAGAAATCTCCATTTTTAGTAAAGCTATCTCTACTGGCTTTTGTGGCTGATATTAAGTAACGCCTAATGTAGCATCTCTTCAGTATATATCAACTTTTTCATTATTATTAATCTAAACAACTTCGTCTATCCTTATTAAAAACTACGCAGCTCTCCTTAATTTATGAGCAGCCCGTTTAACATCACCTTATTCTCAGGCTTAATTGCGTTCAAAATTTTTTGTGTAAATTAATTTATCAAAATTGCTTCAGCAAAATGCCACCTAGAAGGTAAAGAAGATATAAAACTCAGGGTAATATAACAGCACATATATAGTACTATGTCCATTTAAAAAAATCTACTTCTCTCTCCTTAGGTTGCTATGATTGTATTCATCAATTTTATAAACTGTTTAATCAGGTGGAATCCTTCTGTCTAAGTTCCCCAATCTTCCCTCTTTACTTTTGCATAGTACTCATTTTGGGTAGATAGAATATATTTGAGATTTTCCAATTTTATCCGATTTGAAAAATTTCGCTTTATGGCCAAACTTAGTCCTAATGCTAGCTCAGGGCTATGTTAGATACCGCTCTTTCCCATATCCTGTTTCTAATTTATTCTCTGCCAATCCAGATTTTTATTGCTACAACTCTTACAACCCACGGGCTTATAACATATATGAGTGTTGATAATGTGTTATGAAGAAATGTTTAGGTCGATCTCATTTCAAGGCGATGGCGTGTTCCTATTGGTATGCCATCATTTGGTTTTACTGATGCGTTTAGGTAGACGCAGCCCTCTAGAAGCCCTCTTTCGACTAAGATTAAGGAGAGAAGCTTTCGTCTGTGATATTACGAACCTCATTAGAGCAAGGAATTATTCTTAACTTACTTCGGGCTTCAAATAAGTTAATAAAACTAACGGAATACTCTTTCCTTTTAATACATACTCATTAAAAAATTCGACAGACGTCAGTATTAGAGGACTGGGTTATTGCAAAACGATGTGAACATCAGTGCATATTTGGTGTGTCTATATATGCAGGTTTGGACGAAAGAAACTAAAGTTATAGTCTAAAATAAACAGAACACAGTATAAGTTATCGAGATTTAATTAACTTTTATATTCATTCGAAAATTCACCCATACAATTATGCAAAGCTCGATAATCGTTGGTCTGAGTAAACTGTGATTTTTAGCTTTATCTTAGTCTAGGATATATTAGTTAAGTCGCTTCACATTACCGTACATTCATACAAACATACGACGCACATGACTGCTTACTACTTCTATTTTGCAATAAGTGACCTTATTTAAGTTGTTTCATGTGCATAGATAGCAAAGGAAGACTAGTCAGTTAGTTTTGCTCAGCTCATTTCCATTTTGAATAATTGTGTGTTATGGAGAGAGTTGAAGGATGATCGAACCAGTAGACGACAGCTGATTCCTATTGACCAGCCGTTAATCGGAATAACTAATACATTCTTCAATTCCGGTGAAAACGTACCGTTTTCGTCAAACATTACACCAGCGGTGTACAACAATAAACAAGCAAAAAAATCAAGTAAACTCACCAGCCTATCCCTACATGATATATATATACTCTATATCTTTGCTTTTAGAATAGATATAAAGTGATTTGGCTAGTTCAAGTCAAATGTTAATCTAGAGAGAAAGAGTGAACTAAGACGGATAAAATGTGATTGACAAGTCTGAGACCATTCAAACTCATATCCAGTTTCATCCGTGTGTTGCGCTACCTGTATTTTTTGAACCCAACGATCTCTACAGGCCCTTTTCTGTTCAGCCAACCTTTGCCTCATAGGATAACTGACTTGTATAACACAAAAGCAATCACATGAATACACTATTTTATAGCAACCTGATCTGAATAAGGGTTCAAATTTATCTATAAAAGCGGGAACAACTGAAGAAAGTGTCATAGTTTCCTTAAAAATATTTTTATTCCCCACTTCCTTACTAGCTTTCCTATCTTAATAGAAATTAGGCACAAAGGCAAGGCCATTACATGTGAAATAGTATCCGATTTTGTCTAGTTCGAAATATTTCCCAGTAAAAAAATCATTCTTTATTAATCTGGTGTTATTTTCAACCAAGTATAAAGGATAAAAGCAAGTTAGTTTGAGCCTATTAAGCTCATTATCACAATTGTCTCTAGCAAATATTCTTACACTTATACCAACGTTCATTATGTAACTATCGTTGGAGAATTAATTAAGGATAAATCCAACTGACCAACTTCTCTTTCGCTCTGATAACTAAAACATCTAAAAACGGTAAGCAATTATCCGTTTAAATTTCCATTGTAAACTTAACATTACTGTCTCTCTGTTGAAGTAAAAGCAAGAAATTATCGAGTCTATACTTTAATGCTGTCTTCGTATCCCAAAAAAGTATTCTCATTTAGACTGGACTTAACTTTCGTACTCGCCTGAGTCTCATTAACAATTCCGGCGGGACTCAAACTCTGGCAGTACAGTGTAGTCCGACAAGTTTCGAAACTGACATCAAATCAACATCATATAGCTAAAGGAGACCAAACAAAACTCCACATTATCTCATATCTCATCCTCATATCTACAAACATTATTAAGCTTAATAATATTATTCTTGTAGCCCATATTCCATGAGTTCATTTTAAAACCAAATTCCTCAAGTTTATTTTAACGTCTAAATTGCTTTATTTCTTATAATGACGGAATCTATGAACTTTACCCATTCTTTTCTCTAGACACTCCACCATAGCATGTAGTTAAATAAAAAATTCCGAGTAAAATAACAGGAAAATGGCTTGTATAATCTTGGTTTTAGTTATAACCAAGCCATTTAATCGATCTACAGTATGTCTTAATTTAGTCTTAATTAAACTACCCGCTACTTGTTCCAGTTTACTACCAGTGGAAGTAGGTAAAGCTGGGCCAAAAAAATATCTAGGCACTATATTGTGTGAAATACAGATTTTTAATGTCTAACAGTAATAATTTGCCAGAATCTAGATTTCATGTATTTCGTATAGCCAGAAAAAGTTGA